CGTCTTCGAAGGTGCGCCAGTTAGCTTGTCAGGTATTCCGGAGAGCGTCCGTACCAACCAACTCGACGTCGCAACGCGCAGGCACCAACTTACTCAACAACCAACCCGTCGCCATCAAATTTGTATGTCTTGTTGTTGTGGAGTATGACATCGCACGACCGCTCACAACAGTTGCGCCCGTAGGAACCACGCAAGTCTGAGGCTCCTCAGCTGCGAGACGAGTACAGGTCATACAGGACTCTGAACGGCACACGTACGTCCATCCTTCGTTTCCACATATCCCGCGAACTCCCGCATATTTACCCGTGCACTCCCCCGGGGTTTAGCGGGCATCCCTCAAGTACACTACTTCGGTCAGGAGGGCTTGCATAATGTCCTCGTCATCGACCTACTCGGTCCCAACCTCGAAGACCTTTTCGACATGTGCGGCCGCAAGTTCAGCATCAAGACCGTCTGCATGGCCGCGAAGCAGATGGTGAGTGCCACCCCTGCACCCTGTGAGCCCCTGCCGCAGTCCGCTGGCAACCTTCCGGAGTCCACCCCTCTTGCGGCCAGCATCGTGCATGCCGCCGTGCGGGTTTCATCTCGCCGTCGCTGTCGCTATCTCGCGGTAATCGGGTGCCGGCGCCTACATGTACAGCCGACGTAGCGCGCTTCCAGGCGTCGGTGGCGTCCGCGATGGCCCTGCTGCGGCTCGCGGCCCGCCCATAGCGCGGCGACGACTGCCTCGGTTCTTGCGCTTGTGTGCTGCTAGTGAGCGGGGTGCTGACGGATATTATAGGTCACCCGCGTCCAGTCGATCCACGAGAAGTCCTTGATTTACCGGGACATCAAGCCCGACAACTTCTTGATTGGCGTTCCTGGGACCAAGAACGCGAATGTCATACACATCATTGGTGAGTATAGCTGACAACAGCATCTTGGGCCCAGGTCTTGCGCGTTTGCATCGAACAACCTGGGGAATTGGCCCTTAAGCCCCTTGAGACAGGCATATTGCTCTTGTTTCCCCATAGAGACACAAAGCCAGAGAACACGAACTAATGATTCACGTACAGACTTCGGTATGGCGAAGCACTACCGTGACCCGAAGACGAAGGTTCATATCCCCTACCGCGAACGCAAGTCATTGTCGGGCACTGCCCGGTACATGTCCATCAACACTCACTTGGGACGCGAGCAGTCCCGCCGTGACGACCTTGAGTCCCTCGGTCACGTCTTCATGTACTTCCTCAGGGGTGGCTTGCCTTGGCAGGGTCTTCGCGCCGCGACCAACAAGCAGAAGTACGAAAAGATCGGCGAGAAGAAGCAGAGCACCCCGATTGAGGAGCTCTGCGAGGGCTTCCCCGGTGAGCCAAATCAGGATTTCCGTCACATAGGAGTTGCGCGCTAACCGCTCGTGCAGAGGAGTTTGCTATCTACATGAACTACGTCCGCAAGCTTGGATTCGAGGAGACACCAGATTACGACTTCTTGCGGGAGCTGTTCACCAAGGTTCTCAAGACGCTGGGTGAACCTGAGGATGGTGTCTTTGACTGGATGCTCCTGAACGGCGGCAAGGGCTGGGAGGCCGGGCATGTAAGTCAACCTGTATGTGCATCGAAAGTCCGCGCTCATGAGTTCATAGACCTCTGCACTCCTGGCTTCCGCACACGGCGGTACCCCGCATACGCCACACCGTGACCGCCACCGCGAGCGCGATCGCCACAGATCTTCGAGAGCTGCCCTTCAGGATGGTGCGCCCTCGCCCTCCTCCCCTCTCGTGCTTGCGCCCACCCCAGCGCACATCAAAGGCAGCAGCCGTCGGCCGCACGACGCCTCTCGGGGCGGTTCGCGTGAGCAGGTCAGCGTGCAGCCACTCGCTCCGCAGAGCCGTCGCCAGAGCCAGAACCACGTCTCTCGCGGCGAGCGGGACAGCGGACTGGTCGCCCCCCACCCTTACGCTGCTGCTCCGACCTCCACCGGCTACCGCACGAACGCGTATGGCCGGCAGTCGCCCGTCCCACCAAATGGCACGCCCAACGGCAACGGTGCCAGCCCCATCCAGCAGCACCCGAACAACTCGGAGTCGTTCATGTACAACCAGAACGGCCAGGGCAAGAACGGGACTGCGAGCCGCGAGGGCACGACGACGGGCGGTACTGCTGCAAGGCAGGACCAGGTGAACGGCCAGGGCACGCGCGGGATGGGCGTGTACGATCGCGAGCAGATGGAGCGGGTCGGGGAGCAGGACGAGCACGGTGGTGGCAGGAAGAAGGGATTCTGGGCTGCGTTCTGCTGTCGGGCATAAGGACTTGCTGTGCTCCGACGCGCACCGGATGCGCTGATGAACTTGTACGTCTGTCCTGGTTCCACGGTCTCCTGTGTCTCGCATTGACTGTATATACGTTCTTTCTTCGGGCTGTGTATCATATAGGCTTGCAAACGAACCCACTTGTGACGGCTCTGACGACACTGCACACGACCCTACTCTACCACACTCACATAACTGGCTCCCCACAACTGCTCTGAGCCTTCCCCTGGCTTCCGCCCTCTGCACTCTTCACGACGGCCGGTTGACGACCCTGCGACGACGCCCAGCATACATACACACACACACACCCGCATACACCTGCAGCACACCCGCACGTACGCACCACCACCCATCACACAAGCATACCCTTTCCTTCACGCTGTGTATATTCGCCCTATCGCTATCCCGGGTGCGCACACCCCGTAATCGCATCATGGTCCGGAAAGTTCTCAGTCCCAGTCTCGCTCGCTCGCTCTCGCCCTCCTCCCTTTGCGCCTTGGATTAACACCCCCGTCCTACTTCAACTCCAACGTGGTGTTTGTTACCTCCCCCAACGTACATACGGTTCGGCGCTCTGAACTCATCATCGCCTCGCCTCGCTCTGGTTCCGGCCCAAAGGACACCGCCGCTCGTTCGCCCTCCTTCTAGTCTCTCGTCTCTCGTCTCTCTCCTCTCGCACCTCGCATCTCGCACGTATCCTCGTTGATTATCCGTATCATTGCCGCTGCGTCGCAGGCCCCGGCAGCGCGCACGCGTCCTCTCCGCCCGGTTCGAAGCAGCCAGTGCCTCGAAGGGTTGGACGGCGTGTCGTGTTGAGTCGTTGTTCTGGCGCCGGCGGGGCCGTACTTACCCTGTGTACATTCCCTTGGCGTAGACCGCCTTTGCATGTCTTTACTCTCTTTTTTTCTCTCCACAAATCTCAAATTGGTTTCTCGCTCGCTACGCATGCGCGCTGGTCGCTGTTCTGGTGAATTTGTGAGGTCTTTACGCCCCGACATGTGGGTGCTCGGACCGGTGGAGTTTAAGCGCGCGACTTGCGGGTCGGTGACGTTATGAAAGCGGCCTCTGACTGAGCGACGCGTTCCTCCGGCAGTCCTGGACGCGCCTGGGCACGTCTGCGGAAGCCCGTCGTAGATCCGCGTCGTCCGCTAACGTCAGAAGTTGCGGCGAGAGCTCAAGCCGATTCAATGCACGGACTCACAGTATGCATGCAGGGGCCAGCAGCGGTAAGGACGGCGACAAGAGGTCGGGATACAGACAGTGTGGTCAGAGATGTATGTACAGTCTATGCATTATGGTGCCGGGGCAACTGGCGATCGTGAAGACGTGACAACGACAAGAACGTATTCGTACACAACAACTCCTCGGGAGGCATATACAGACACAGCGCAAACGACGGAGAGCAACCTGCGATTATGAACGTCCTTTTCTCGTGACCCCTTCCTCCCTCATGAATCCCTGAATCCCTTCCAATGATCGCAACGAACGTACGGAGCGCGAGGAGCCTGCGGGGAGGCTCTCACTTGCGCTCCTTCCACGCGTTGTCGACGCCCGCTTTGGAGAACTTCTCCGCGTGCTCGAAGAGCGGCGGCGGGTTCACGTCGGGCAGCTCGCCGCCGTTGCCCTTCTGCGTGCCGGCGGGGTCGGCCATGCCCTGTCCGCTATAGCTGCCCCCGCGGGCGTGCATCTCCCCTGGGGCCTCCCTATGGCGGATCGCCGCGCTCTCGCCGACGCCCGCTTCGTTCCGGGGCACCTTCTGGGTGATGGGGTGCGCGAGCCCGGGCGCGGTGGAGGCGTGTTGCGCGCCCTCGGGGACGGGGGCGTCCGTGCGGGCGTAGTTCTGGTAGGGGGCGGAGGTGGGGTACGCGCCGTAGGGGACCTCGTAGGGGGTGTTGGCGGGGTCGGGCTGGGAGACGACGTAGGTGCGGTGGCCGGAGGCGCCTGCGAAGGGGTCGGAGGAGTACTCGAGCTGCTTCTCGTAGGACGCGCCGGCGAGGGAGGAGGGCGCGGGCGGGGTGGTGAGCGGGGAGGAGGAGCCGGCGAGGACGGCGAAGGGGGAGTGGAAGGCGCGGGAGGTGCTGGCGGTGGGCACGCTGCGAGACGCGTTGGACACGGAGCGGGCGTGTTTCGAGAGTGCGCGGAGGACGGTCGACATTGTTGTGTGGGTGGTGGTGGTGATGGTACTGGTCGCGGTGCTACGGAGAAGGTCGCGGTTGGGAATGGGCGAAAGCGGGCGTTGGCTGAGTGGATGGATATAGGGGCGCGGTGGGGCTTTTGGGGTGCAGCGGGCGAACGAGTTCTCACGAATTACGATGGGACGGTCGAGCTGGTCTGGGTGGTGTCACTGCTATCTTCGTCTCGGCAACGCCCTCCTCAATTCACTCTCGTACCACCTCCGTCCCCGCTCTCTGCCGTTTATTGGGCCCATCTTCTCATGTTTCACTCCCTTTGGGGATCCCCAAACATTTCTCGTGCTCGGTGGTTGCGATAGCCAGCACAGTGGGCATGATAGGCGGGCGGCCGACGACGGTCGAGAGCGGCGGGACGAGCTGAGTCGGTGTTGGCGTTGGCGTTGGCTGCGTCGGCTTACCCCGCACGGGTGGCTGCTATGATGCAGGGCCGATCGTCTGCAGAACCTTCTGCACAGAACGCTTCCCGCGGTTGCAGTACTCGAGCTCTATGTGGAAGCCTTTAAGCCTATCATACACAACCCCCGATAGCTCAGTTGGAAGAGCGCAAGACTGTAATGGGTTACCACTGATCATCTTGAGGCCGCTAGTTCGATCCTGGCTCGGGGGATTCTTTTGCCCTTCCCTTCCGAAGAGGCCAATCCAGCCGCAGACTCCGGGGAGTCCCTGTCGCAATCGGTTGTGCAGCCACCTTGGTTCTTTCGTGACATACGGTACCATCTATGTCCTCTTCATACTCTTTGCCTTCACCCAACGCGTTCTTTGCATTTGGGCCGTGATAAACAGGAATTTTACAGTGCAATGTTATGCTGTATGTGGTGACTGGCCTCATACCCACTCTGTGCAGTCACATAGCGGCATAACCACTTTAACAGATATCGACGTTTACAGGGTCGGCTGACTGCAGAGCTCCCACCGCAACTACTCGCGCTGCGCGCGCCAGATCCCGCTACAACGGACACTCTCAGGCACCAATCAGCGGAGGGACCCTTACGTAGGTTCCGCATGCACGCACTCACGACATTCAGCTTCCCTGCTTCGCTAGGTGTCCATGTGGTGGTTACGCCCCCGCTTTTGTCGGCGTACCTTGAGACAAATGCGCGGCCCGCAGATGCGCCGCAGGGCACAATGGGATGCCCATACGTAAGGCGGCCACTGGCCCCGCGCGGGGCACTAGACCGCTCAGATTAACTTACTTATGGATATGCATGCGCGCCTCCCACACCGACTTTGTTGATCTCGGGCTTTGCAGGGAGGTCAACTGTCCGGTATGTTGACCTTGCGTATTCTGGGAGTCCTCACGAGACACGCCCTGACCGCCATCGCAACATATAGAAATCGGATGTGCACTAGGCAATATTGCTGCCTGATGTCATAGATCGTCGCAATATCTGGGCTTTAATGGCAGACCGCGTATCACCTAGCAACTGGACAAATGAACGCGACCGCCGGACATTATCCTTGGCATCGGTTCCGACATTATTCAACGAAGCCCTCTGGCGCCGGGATGGAACTCCCCCGCTCCCATGCTAATTGCCAGCTGGAAGTCGAACATTCCCCGGCACTACGTCTGCACCCGAGCTGCACATATATCCCATAACGGGCGCGTCGAGTGCGTGGACGCGCACGCGCCGCTGCTGTCTGTTAAGAAGCCCAGCCCCCTCGTTCCCTCGTCCCTTTTCTCCCCCGCTGCTCCTCGGTAGCCTCGCTGATGCCCTGGTGCGATGGCGATCACGGTCAACCCGGCGGCCTTCTTTGACGTTACGTAAGATGAGGAAGGAAGCTCTCGCAGTTCTTCTCTGTGTGCTGACTCTGTTAGGATTGGCGTTACCCTGGTGGGCTTAGCGGTTACAGCAAGGTAAGGCGTGCCGGTTCCGAGTACCTATACACCGCTTACACACTTCTGAGGGCAGTCTTTTCGGAGGTACGTCAGCTAATAATCAAAGCCAGCGATGCAGCTTTGAACACCCAGGAATAACATAGTGTCGACCGCACAAGCGTTATGGTACTACAAGACCTATCCCCGTGACCGGCGATTCATCAAGCTGCTCGTACAATCAAGTCAAACCTTGTCGCCATATGCATTAGTCTGACTACTATGTAATCATGTTACACAGGTCGGCGCCATATGGGGATTCGACGCCCTGCATCTGCTCCTGTACATTGCTACAAGTAGGTCATTCCCCGGCTGATTTACAATATCTATGAGATGTTGACCGGTCCCACTCGGAAGTGTGGACATATCTCGTTCAGAAACAGGTCCAAGCGCTGGGACCGACGACACTTCCTTGGTAACGATGCACGTATCCTCGAGTACTGCAGATCACTGATCCGCTTCCTGTCCTTAGGGAGTCCAGCGTGAGTGGGACGAGGTGCTCACTTGCCATACCACGGTTCACAACTGTTTGCTCCTAGGCACAACTGCTCTGTAATGTAGATGCCTCATTGTCCCTTGGGGGCCGGGACGGGACCTAACTGGTGTTTCCTTGCAGGCTTGCGCAATCGTCACGATTCAGCTGTAAGCAGCTCGTCCTTCGCATACTAGCTGCGATTGATTAAATCCCTCGAACAGGTTCTACACATACCGCATATGGACCCGTGAGTGATGACCCGGGATTTTATATCGCAATTCTGACTCACACTCTCCTCCCGCGATAGTCAGCAAAAGCCAAACCCTTGCAGCGATGCTGGTACGTATGCTGTATTATATCGTGGGAGAGGCAAGTGTTGAGCTTTCACAGGCGATCGTTGTTCTGGGGGATTTCGGTGAGTCCGCCGGCGCGCTCGCTCACAGGGCATTAATTGATGATGCTTCCCGTAGCTCTTGCTCTGAGTAAGTCGCGCGTGCTCCGCATACCTTCGGTTCACAGGTAGCTCACCCGACGACCTCAGCGCTCTTTGTTAAAACGTGAGGAGTCGGCTCAATTGGCAGTCTGCTTCTGAGAGACGCTGAAGGTCCGCGACAGCATCTTGACCGACGATGTGCAGGACTTCATCGGGCTTACTGTGCGTACGTAGTCCTGTCGCGCTGACGGGAGTACTCACAACGCTGCAGAACTTCGACGTCGCCTTGAGTTCTGTCACTGCCATCGCGGACGTGCTCTTGTCGGGCACGCTCGTGATACTGCTCGCCTTGTCCCGCACGGGCTCTGCAGGGTGAGCCCCTCGTAACCACAATGCACGGAGATCCTCGCATTCTGATTGTTTGTCTTCAGCGCCAACCGCCTGATCAACAAGCTGGTGAGAGACAACATTCGGTGAAATCCTGGTTAACCGTGAACCTGACATTGGGCAGGTCCTGTACACAATCAACACCGGCCTGCTGACGAGGTAAAGGTGCTCTCTACACAAACATACCCGCAATAATCAATTGACTCGTCCAAGCGTCTTCGCTATCTTCGCATTGGTCGCCGTACGTCCCTACGGTGCCCTCAAGTCACGGTGCTATGCAACTCATTGAGGCGGACAGGTTATAGTACTACCAACGACCGCCATCTATGTCATGTTTTACTACATCGGCACCCGTCGTGCGTTCGGACATTTGCGCCTTTTCCCTCGGAGGCCCTGAGCTAACCATTACACTCATTGATCGCCCCTGCAGTGTATTCCGTCTCCCTACTGGCGACGCTGAATGCGCGAGCAAGCCTGCGCATACAAGCAGAGCGCATCGGGCACGTGTCCCTACCGCGCCTCTCAAGCGTCTCCATCTCGCGCAAGTCGTCGGGATGGGCCAGATCGGTGCGGTTGTCCTCTTCCAACGCGGTTGATCGCGCGACAAACTGACCGGGAGTCTAGGACCCGCTGCCACGCGATGTGGTGGTGGCGATTCAGCACGATGAGGGGCCTGTGTTTGAGGACGAGCGTGTGAAGGAAGAGTATCGAAGGCGTTATGGGGCCGGCGGCGAGGAGCTGCCATCGGAGGTGGATGAGAGCGCGTCGAGCTTTGGCCAGTGGGAGCCGGTGAAAGCGGCGCAGTCGAGGTCTGATGTGGGCGTACCGCGTTGCTGACTATGACAAGAGACAATCGTCGCTGCGCCTTGGGCTGTGTTGTGGGGACTCAATTGGAGTGCTCATTTATTGAAAGTACAAACGAAGTCCCTGGCAGTTGTGACGGTACAGATCTGTATGGTGACCTACACTGGCAGATCGGTACTGTGAAGTTAGGCACATGACATGAAAGGGTTGTAGCGAGCTACAAGCTACTGGTCGTAAATTACTGCCAACCAATTTAAAGCACGGACTCGAAGAACGAACTGGATCAGAACCGATCGCTGAGCCCGCCGAGCGTTGGAACCTGGAATGAACCTGGGGGGATGACCATATCGGGATGCGTGGTGTGCGCGTGTGTCTTACGTTCGCACACTCACGTAATGCAAATGGAGAGATCGCTATAACGGACAGTCGCGGACGCAGAGGGCGTGATCCTGCAGGTCGTTTCGCAACCACCATGTTCTCCTCCTTTTTCTCGTGAGTCGGGCCTGCGTTCGCACTCGTGGCATTCCTCACAGTCTCACAGTACCGCACCCCCGGTCGACCCCAATGCGCCCAACTTCCACCCCGTCTCCTCGGCATACCAGCCCTCGGAGCTCTTTGGCGAGCTAGAGCCTAAGGACATCGAGTGGGCGTGCCCTAGCGGATTCGCGGTGGAAACGCAGACGTTTTACCAGTTCTTGGAGGATGGCACGTCCTTGATGTGCCAGGTGATCCACTCCGCCGTTGGGTAAGTCTTGCATCTGATCGCCATGCGCAATTGACGCCTCATGAGAGACTGTCCAATGTACAGCGTGTGGTACCCGACGATCCAGTTCACCTGCAAGATCCACAACCCGAACACGAAGGAGACGACCTGGAAGTCTATCAATGTGTCCAACTTCGTGACTCCCCCTCCCGGACTCGACAAGCGGTCGAGCAAAGCGGACCAGTACTCCATCACCTACAAGACCAAGCCGGGCTCGGAGACGCCGGAGTCGTATGTCATCACTGCAAACCTCGGGGATGACGTGCAGATCACTCTGGACGTCGCCCGTCCTGCGGCCGTTCCCGGCTTCAAGGTTGGCAAGAGCCCCAAGGGCGGCTTCTCGTACTTTGGACCCGACCCCGAGAACGCGGAGGGCTACGTCGTCCACCGTTTCTGGCCGCGGACGCAAGTGAGCGGGATGCTCGTGCACAACGGCAAGGCGGTGCCCGTGAAGGGCCCGGGCATGTTCGTGCACGCGATCCAGGGCATGCGCGCGGACCGCGTCGCGGCGCGCTGGAACTTTGCGAACTTCCAGAGCGACCAGCACGGCGGCGTGTCGGCGATCCAGATGGAGTTCACGACGACAGACGCGTACGGCCGCAAGGGCGCGGGCTCGGGCTTCGTCACTGTCAACGTCGGGTCGCTGGTGATCGGCGGGAAGCTCGCAGCGGTGACCGCGGAGACGAAGTGGCCGGATGAGGAGCCTGCTGCGAATGCGGGCATCATCTCGCGGGCGGTGCACTCGAAGAAGGCGCACGACCCCGATACTGGGTACGATGTACCGACGGAGCTGGTGTTCCGTTGGGCAGCACCGTCTCTGGTGCCGGAGGCGCAAGGGCCATTAGACGCGACGCTGACCCTCGATGTTGGAA